GATGTACAAGTCGCATCCATCCTCCCAGACTTGCTCGGTGTTGTGTTCAGTTCAGTTAGCCAGCCTAGGAAAGATGGGAGCCCGGCTGGTACGGTCGGGAGCCGATCCGGGATTCCGTGCCCATTCTAGATGGTGTCGCTTACCTATTCACCACCTCTGTTTCGGACAAACAAAGTCAACATCAAGCAGATCGACAAATATATAGTACCAACCTCCCCTCTAACAAAATTTGTGATATTATTAGGTTGTCGCATAAGTTCTTATACACGACTTTTTTCGTAAATATCTCAATAGCGAACCAACCTGAAGATTAGAGGTATGCATCATCACCATTCACTACTCGACGCCAGCGCTCAGGCAGCTTGTCGATCCATCCTTCCAGAACGACGGAGGCTGGGACTTGAAGAAGTCGTCGAGTGCCTTTCTGACCTGATCCTTTGTTTCGAACTTTTTTCCGTCCAGAGAGCGCTGCAGGTGGCTGAACAGCCAGTAGTCAGAAGGAGCGAGGTCAGGGCTGTAGGGAGGGTGGGCGACCATCAGCCATCCGTACTTCTCCAGCTCGGCCTGGGTCGCCTTTGCAGTGTGAGGTCGGGCGTTGTCATGGTGGAAGTAGATTTCCGCATTCCTTCCACACGGTCGACGTGATCTTTCAATTTCCGCAGCTGGGTCACGTATGTGGAAGCATCAATCGTCTGTCCCTTCTCCAGCAGCTCCCAGAACTCCATGCCTCTTCTGGACCACCAACAGAACAGGGAACCATTTTGGTGTGAAGGTCGGCCTTTGAGGTGGCTTCTGGCTGTTCTCCTTTGTCGACCCACTCCTGCTCCCTCACAGGGTTATCGTAGAGGACCCACTTCTCATCTCCAGTGATCATCGAGTTGAGAAAGTGGAACTTCTTTGTGGAATCGTGAAATAAAACGCATGCAAGGTGCGCAGTACATTCGTAACCAGTGCGTTAATTGTGCGAACACTGTTACTGCAACATGCAACGCTCAGTGAGTGACAGCTACGTGTAATGAAAGAGTATAATGTACAAGTCACGCACACGTGATGACATAATACCAACAACTCCATGCGAACGAAATAGGAGAGGATCAAACACGTGTATAAGAGAACTTATGCGACAACCTAATATATTATTAGATTATTTTATTCAGCACTATTCCTATTACTGTTGATTCAGAGGAGAATTAAAAAATAAAAACGGTGAGATATGTAGGTCTTTGCCTTGTCCCAAGTTTCTTTTTTCGCTACCGTATTTATCGTAAACCGTCGGATCATGTCAGATGCGTGAAAATGCTGACAATGCTTGCGTAACGGCTCATAGAACTGGTCTCGGCAACCGAAACCAAACACGTGGACATCAACACCTCGTCGGTGCACGTCTTTGGTCCTTTTGAACAGTGACTAAAGAACTTCCAAGGCGAAATGAAATGACCGCCGAAACGATTTTCACATCGCCGACGAAAGCCGGCCGCCAAAAAGACGATGCAGACGTAATTACTACCTGATTAGGGTCATCAAGTTCATGCGCGACGCGCGAGAGAATTCAATGATTCCCCCATCGTAAAGGAAGAACAAGAAGAACTTCGCGCTCTGAAATGGCAATTTCAATGGACATTTGGTGAACCCGTCGAGGTCGTCCACCTAGTCGTTTTCATCGTCGAGGAAATTATCGCAACCACAAATCCAATACACGCTCTGAATTCTCTCGCCGAGAAACGTTTTTGCTTCGACGACTCGATTCCAACGTAAGAAAGACGGCGCTGCTTGAGTGGACCGAGGGAAATTAGCTTGGACGGGGAAGTATCACAACTCATAAAATGCTATGAAATTATCGACGAGACGGGAACACTATTGCTAAATGATAGGAAGTGATAACAGCTGATAAGAGCAGATAAGGGACCTCACAATTAGAAGGGAAGGGTTACGAATCCATAGCGCGGGTCAAAACCTCACTCTTCCCATTTTAACGGAAGTTGACAAGACAGGTCACCCCGTGCGTCCTCTGCCCCCCTCCCCCATTCCTCTGAACAGTACCGTACACTGGTTGTAAGGGGAGGTTATACTCGTCGATCGGAATAGAGACGTAGTGTTGAGATGTCTGGGAAGGGCTTCGTGTCGGGTAACTTTCCTCTTCGCTGTCCGTGCCCTGGTAGCACTCTCTCGTATATTGCGTTCATACTTCGTCGCGATTAGTCGCTTGAACAGCGCCTACTTTCAGACAATCGTTCGCCGTGCATTCACGTTAGTGTTAGACATTCTCACACGATTCTGGTACCAATGGACATCTACCAGGGGAATGAAAACCTCAACGGACTGACTCTGAAAGGGTTCAATGAAAGGACCATCCATATGATAGTAAAACTAGCTCTCATTGCTCCAGCTCCGCATTAAAGCTTAAAAGGCCCATAAGATATTCCGACAGATAATCGAAAGAAATGATGAGAAAATTATGGCATTAGGAAAAGCACTACATAGCACAACGTTCCACGGGAGATAGGAACGAGCACTGTAGGAGAGATCGGCTGAATCCACGAAATACGAATCGTAAAAGGCTATGCTGTGTTTGCACAGGTGGCTGGGCAGTGGAGCTGAACCATCTAATCTAATAATAGTACTGAACGATTTCAGAGGACAGAAATTCTCTGAAAATGGATGGATGAGTAGAAAAGATCTTAACCCGCGAGGCATCAGAAAAGCCACACGGAACTGCGCTAGCGCCAAATTACGTCCAATTACAAACGAAACTACTGAACGCCTTTATCCATTCACTTTCTCTATGAACACCATTTCAAATCAATCTCGTAGCATTTTCTCAGCAACTACTAAGCCGAGATGTAGAGAATACCTCAGAAAACACGAACTATTATTGAAAACAAACAATCACATCAATTTTTAAGGTACCAGCCGCACCAGTGTACAGGGCGCAGCCCGTTTCCCACGAATTGTTGTTGCTAACCCGTTTCAACGACTGGTGGAGAACAAGGTGGCATCGTGCTTAACATAGCTCTTTCCCTCCTGACACACCCCAACGATGCAGTAAACCATGAGAAAGCGCGCGGCAATGGCTCTATGGTCTTGCCAGCCGCATGCTCCTTCCTAAAGTGCGGTAGTTTCAAATTTCCTATTACCCCTACTACTACTACTATTCATCTATTCATACACTATTCGAAGATACCATTTTGACTTTATTTCTCTCAACAATCATTCAGCAGACGCAGACGCTGGGGCGTGTTAGAGTACTGGGATCGGCGCGGCGCCAGCCCGTTTTCCACCAATTACTGTCGCTGGCTCGCTTCAACAATTGGGTAGAAAGGGCTGGCGCAGCGCAAAACCCAGCCCATCTGGCATGCCTCAGCGTCTGCAGCGAACAAGAGTGTAGAGAACATCTCAAAGAAAACAGGAAAAGGGCGCTACTCCAATTGAGAAGGGGGGCACGCGATGGCACGTCGAATAAGCTTCTTTGCGCGCTGAGAAGGACGTGGACTCTGGTCGCCTTCGCTGCCACAGTTCATACCGGATCATTTCTCCGTGCCGCCGCTCGGCCCCCACCCCTCAACTAGAATCACGCAGCACCAAAGTCGCGTTAAATACTATTCGCCTACCGCAGGTAGTTATCCAGTTTGAGTCGTCTTCCCTAGCGCCAAAACGAAGAATGACAGTCGTTAAGGTTTCCCTACCTGAGAAAAAAATTAGACACTGTTCAACTAATACATCTCAGTCTTCCTGAAGCAGGCTAGTTTTTACTGACTTTTTTCTGAGAGGCAGATTCGCCCGAAAATTCGGTTCTGGAAGGTAGTTCCACCTCCTGAAACAACGAATATCAACTTATGCGGACCTGAAACTTGCCTGGCTCTCCGCGGCCACAGGCGCCAGCGCCAAGATGCTTCAGACTAGCTGATCCGCTGAAATAATTCCTACAGATAGTCTGTCCTCCAGGACACGAATATCTCATTGGCTCGGCCTGAAAGCTAATGAAAGACACTACGATCATCTGCGCTCTGCTAAGGCTAAGCTTGTCCTGAAGGGAATAACTCCTCTCAGCCGCTGCAGAGGGCTAAATGGCACTGGTGTCAAAAAATTAATGCCATTCTCGTGAGAAGGGCATCAAACAACCCTACTGTGCAAGTGTGAATAGTGTGCAAGTTCTGCGGATGTTGATGAGGAAGGGTGCGACGCGGCAGAGCTTAAAAAATGTCACGTCCGTGGTCAAGGTACCAGGTAACCCCATTACTTTACAACGATTTTGGTCGGAGAAGAGGTGGAGCCAAATGGCTCGAGTGTCAAAAACGAATTGTCATCTCGTTTGGTCAGACATCGAATTACCCTTACGGGCAAAGCTTCACCAAGAAAGTTTTTTTCGAATTTCCTGGGGTAATAGTTGAATAGTGGCAAGAATTAAATTTCAGTAGAGCGGCAGTGAATAGTGCTACTTTCAAGGGATGCTCAATTCGATAGTCCAAGCACAACTTACGCGACTACATTTTCAGTTCCGTGATCTTATATCACAGTAATCTCCCAGCCTCGATCAGTCATCTTCCTTTAGTACAACAACAAGGAAATCAACAATAAACAACGAAAAACAAGAAAAGAATAACAACTGCAGAGCGACACTCTATATCTTATATCTCAGACACTGGGGCCAGGGCTGGCCTGTATTCTATTTGTAGCATGAGGCCACGATAGCGGCGTTTTTCGTCGGGACTATCTTTTCATTTCGAGACACATAGATTTGTAATGCCTGGACATGGACAAGATGTAACAAAGAAAGTTAGGAAGAGGCAGGCCTCCTCGTGTAAGTGGAGTACGCAGCCACGCCCTTCCCATTTCCGCGATATGGAGTATTCATCCTACTTTCGTGAACTAAGTATCACAAGCAAATAAGCCAGACATTGAAGCTTCAATGCAAAAGGTTTCCATAAAAGCACACACATACAAAATACCGTACATTCACCAAAGACTTGGGAATTATAGGTAAACTGAAGGGAATCTGTGACCTAATGACGCCCTCTTCCCCTTCCGGAACGTGACTTCTTTCCTCGGCCTTTCGTCTTGTCTTTGCTCTTCATAGCACGGAGATCTTTCTTCATTCGGCTAAAAAAAAGATGACTGACTCACTCATGAAGACTTTGGGGAGAGACTAATGCAACTTCTCGCTCGAGGGCTCACGGCACCTAAATTCGCTTGCGAGAAACAACTTCCAAGCAAGGCCACGTTTACCCTAGGGTTCGTTAAAATTGAAAATACGACCCCTCCCCTCGAAAGTTCCTCCTGTGGCGCAACCTCCTTTCCCCTTCATTTCTCCAGCTTCTTATATTCTTGTTCGCAAAATGAGGGAGAGGGTAGGGCATAACGCACATAAAAAAGGAAAAAACGAAAGAATCAACAATTAAAATGATTTCTCTCGAAAACAGTCAGGTTCCCTCCTTCCAGTGACCAAATACCTAGATCGACCGCGGCGTCCAGTGCGCCCTGTTTTCAAGATTCCTCGTAAAACTAGGATTGTCGTATTGAAGATAAGAAATTTTGCGAGCCGAGGTTCTGAGGAGTTCTTGAATGAGTGAACCGATTTTCTCAATAGAAAAGACGGTTTCCTACACCTGTATGCTCAATCTGAGAGAGGGGGTCCTTGAACCCCTAACCCCCTCCTGGTCCCTCTCAAAACCCATCCCATCGCACTTGTCCGAGCCAACTAATCATATGGAAACCAGCAGTAACAAATTGATTCTACGTACCTATCCACGAGCTTATAGCGCCCATTCGGCCTCGATATCTTTCCTTTCTTTCCTTTTGTCATCACCACTAATTCTGTCTTCTTATGGTCTTTTCGATGAGCAGCGGCGTAAATCCTGAAATGGTAGAAAAACTAGATTCGTCGAAGTAAGGATTACAGTGACAGCCTACTTTCGCATTTCTCGAACTTTTTCGGAATGTTCAAGGTTCTCGTTTTCCAAAACTCCTTCGGCTTTCTTCTTAGCTGTTTGCAAACGACGAAGAGCCCTGAAATCAAGCATTTTCTTCAGATCATTGTAAAGAAAAGTGAGGCACAGGCTCCATAAAAAGCGGATGGAACCACCGACATACACTGGATCAGATACACGCTGATAACTGTGCGGGGGGAGGGCATTTGGACAGATCGTTGTGCAAAACTGGAACTGCTATAACAGAGGTAACAACTCTTGCTTGAGCCTGGAAGGGGAAGGAGCTCCTAGTTGAGTGAATCATTTCAAGTACAATAATTCTAGTCGGATGGCCATTTCGCATTTCGCACATGGGGCTCTTTAAATGCCCCCTTCAAGGTTATCCGAAGTATCTACAATTCCAGGGAGCTTGACTACTGGCTCCTGCGGTTGAGAAAGGCATATAGTAACGTCAAAGATTGGCACTATGGCGTCACCGCGCTCCTTAGACTCGCAAATCAAGGATTTATCCCGAACTGGTTCTTTTCCTATTTTGAAGCCTCGAAAGTAGAAGAACCAATAAGTTAAACTGCGATTGGGGGTTACGAAAAAGTTGGTCTTTCTCGTGCTGTCGATTGGGAGGTCCGCTCGCAGAGGGAAACCCGCGTTTCAAGGCGTCACGTGCGCGTCATTCACACCACGATCGAGTTGTTATAACAACTGTTAGTTTTAAGTAAGTACTAAGATTTTGTTGAAGTGCTGCAATGCGATAAGCCATTTATCTAGCAAGTACTAGGTAGCCTGAGGATGTCGCCGATTTCTCCACCGTGGGCCTCCCGATCGACAATAGTTTTTCACGTATTCCGATTCGTTTAAAGCCACGGACCTTATTTAGATTGTTGAGTCACAGCCCGAGTTCTAACAGTGTTAGTGGAGTAAACGAACAATAAAAATCACCAAGAAAACATGAGAAATCCTTATGATTCGATTCGGATGGAACCACTCACTTCTTCTTTTTTCGTTCTTTCGCTTCGGCTACCTTCTTGCACGGTCGAGCATTCAACTCTCTTAATCTCTTTCGGTATTCTTCTACTTGTGCCTAAAAACTCTTCTGTTTTGTCAGATATTCCACAAACGACTCTTCATTACATTTAACGAAATAGCGGTAATCTTGTCATTTTCAGCATCAGCCTCTCGAGAATACCACCCCCGTTATATTGGGGCCAACATTTCAGCAGCAATAACCTTCTTTGTATCTTTTACAAAAGATGGAGCTTCACTGGATATTGTGCTTGTTGGGTACGGTGCTCAACAAAGCTTCATATTCCGTACAAACTTTGAAAAGACGGTTCTTAGCAAAAAAGAAGTTGGCGCAAGAGCCCTGTAAACGTGAGGCCCATGACTGAGCTTTCGCTAGAGACAACTCTTTTGCTCATAACTCAACTCCAGTCCTGCAGGCGCTTGAGGATCGCGATCTGCGGCGATGGGACCACGTCTACTTCGCAATCCGATCGCTGGAATCACGCGTTTAGAGCGATCCGCATCAACCGTGCAAACTGGAGCCAATCACTCAAATGGCGAAGTATGAACGCGCTGTAAGCGGCGTTCATAAACTAAAGCTAACCTTGGTGACGGGTAGCTGCTTCCGATAATGTTTCTTTTCATCTTCAACAAACCAATCGGGGAGCCCTTCGTCATTATTTGCATATCTAAAGAGAACAAATCAATATCGATCTATGTATCGACACAACCTTTAGATTGTTCGTGAAGAATCACCTGTTCCAACCCCACTACTTTCCCACTTCTCCGAGCTGATTTACTCAATATATCAGCTCGTGCTCGCAAGGCCAGTTGTCAGAGTTGGGCGGACTGTTCTTGGCCTCTGGGAATCATTCTTCAGTTCAGTTACGTATCAAACGGCAGGCCAAGCGTTCAGACTACGGATGACGCACGTTGACCGCGCTTCAATGTATAGTACGGATATGCAACCATACGGGTATCGATCGGAGACGGCCGCTAATGCTTTGAGAAGTGTGGAAGAATGAGAGGGTATGCTGTGCTGCTGTGCCTGTTAGCACAGTCTGTTCCCTTCTTGCTCTTCCATACTCTTCCAAAACACTAACGATTGTCACCCAAAACTCCAGCGGCCGGCTCCGATCGATATCTGTCTATGACTTTCGTTCCCATCTACAGCACTGGGATGCAGTCGCATTGGTAGTGCGTCGACGCACTATACAGCGCGTTATAACACGTCTTCGCGCGTCGATGCGCGTCACAGCGCATCGACGCGCGAAGACCGCTGCCCAATATACAACTATAGACATTTGTTGAAAACACCACAAGAAAAAACGAAAAACATACTCGGTTTCAGATCCTCGTCGAGTGACGTCTTCGGAGCTTCACGTTTAGAGGCACGCTTGTCATCTGAAGAGATATCTATGAACCAGACATTTTCTGTCCATTAGATCCATTAACTTAACCCACCTTCTTCAACCTCTTCCTCCTCCCAAGCCATTTCAGCGGCAAATTTTGACTTAGGCTCTGTACTCGTTTCTTCGGCCTCCTCATCATCATCAGCTTCTTCATCGTCATCCTCACTCTCTTCCTCATCTTTTTTGTTGAAATCATCAACATCGCCGCTCTTTTTCCTCTTTTTACCAGACACTTCCTCATCATCAAAACTCACTAAAGAATCAGTAGCATTAAAAAAACTCTAAACCAGAACAACCAGTAACTAGTACCTGTATTGGCATGAATATTTTTGCTTTGTCGCTTCATATGCTTCTCTATCACATCCAACTCATCGTCATCATCTTCATCGGACAGCAATCCGGCGATTTCATCCTGAAAAAGTGATCCGTTGCCAATCATCGTACGAGAAGTGAAGTAGGAACAGAAAAAGGCGCTGTTCGGCTTGGGAGGGGCATTCTCCATCGTAGCTCCTCTAGCTAGTTCATGTTAACTAACAAGTCTCATTTCGGTGGAACCTGGAAAGTTTTCTGAAGCTCCGGTATGGCACAAGTGAGCTACTTTAGTTGAAATTTATAGATTTTCACATGGTGAACTGTACAGGCTTCTCTGAGTAGCGCTTGTTCTGCCCCTTTCAGATGAAATGCGCCCAGCATTGAATTCTAAGGAAGAAAGGAAAGTCATTCCAGACAAATAGGGGCTAAGAAAGATAGAAAAGAATGGAAGGCTAACAGACTAGGTCACGCTTTGGTCGTTTGCGCTATCTAAGCGTCGTCCATGCTTTGCGACTGAGGAGGTTCGATGATTTGGGGGACTCGGTGATTTGTGAGACTGCGGGACTAGGATGTATAGGTATTGGTCTGGCAACCGGGGGATCGCGAAACGCCGAATCTCCACAGTCGCTAGCGACCGGAGCCAATCGATACCTATCCACTCCTTCCGCGCGCAATCGCCGGAAACGCCAAGTCTCCCTAATCATCAGATCCGATCTCCACAGTCATATGATCAATATACTATATTTCCGCTAAACTCCCAGCCACACGGGTCAATCAGCACCGCCCAAGACACGCTCAGGATGAGCGTGAACCTTGGCGGAGGACCCATTACCTTTCTTGAAAAGATGCGAACGAAAAGGCCTAATCGCTCCGCTGCGCGCCATGGGTCTCGATGTATCGGCGACCGCCAGTAGCGGCCCTACTGCTTTCTCCGTTTGTCAATTTGCTTCCAAACCTACCTTACTGAACCACTTGTCAGCTCTGCTTTCCTTCTTCTGTATTTTGCTCATTCCACTTTCTTCAGTGTTGATCAGTTCATTGTCACTTTCGTCGCTGGATTCTTCCTGCATCGCACCATCGGAGTCTTCTTTCTCGTCGTCAGACCTGAAAACGCATTCTTGTTAAAGAACTATCAAAATTCAGAGTTGAACAAGACCCAATGTCTAATAGAACGTACTCATCTACTCCTCTGGTCTCCCACTCTCCTTCGCCTAGACCTTCCTCGCCCTCGTCTTTGTCGGGTCTCATCTCTGGTGTTTCAACGGCATCCGATGTTAGCTGGTTGATTTCTCGAGCCTTCAATTGCCTTTAGTTCACAACGAGACGAAAATCGGAATTACTTTTACATCATTCCAGACAGGGCATGTCGCACGTTGGGGATCTCCGACGGAAGTGATGGTGGAGGGGCTTATTAGGGCGATGAAATGAAGAGGAGGGTCATGTCTGGACAGAATTTCTTTGATATTTGCTTCTTCCTGTTTCACACGCGCTATTACTAGGAAACTTCCGTTGGAAGGTGGGGGGGGTCGGTCGTACTTGCGGGGCTTCAAAAAACTGTTCCGTGTGCGAGATGATTTTTCCGAATGTTGACTTTTCATGTTTTTTTTTCATATCACATGTGCTATATAGCCCCGCCTCCCCCCACTCTCCCTTTCCCTCCCCCTACCGCCGCTTCAGAGCTAAATGAAAAACTTGAAAATTTTAGGAAAAGCGGCACAGACCCGTAAGAATCAAAAAGATGGCAGGTAGAATAAAGGTCGTACTTCGCGAAAAAAAATTCTCCAGCGGCAGGATGTGCCCTGATTCAAAATCCAACACAGATAGAGGAAAGCGTGAAGATGAACTCACCCTACGAATCTTCTTCAAACTGAACAGCTCAAGATCTTCAACCTGATCCGCATGATCACCTTCTATGATCATTTTCAGTTGACGTCGTCTGACAATCTTCGCCTTTGCTTTCAGTAACTTCTTCTTTCTTCTAAAATGTTCTAATTTATGTGAAACATTTTCTCAGCATCTACAAAAATACATACTTCTTCAGAGCTGCTCGTTCCTCTTCACTTGCTCGCGCAATCATTTCATCAATTTCTGCCATCTCCTTGTCTCTACAAATAGCTCAATGAAATATATTTCGGGCTTGGACTAGGATAACAAGCCCTGTGGTTCTATAACTTACTCGAGCTCATCCTCATTCAATTCCGCTTCAGGCTGAGTTTCTTCACCAAGCTCTCTGAATAAGTAAGGAGTGACTCAGTACATAAAGATATTTCAGAGATATTTCAGATCAAATTTGGTAATAGGTGGAAAGGGCGCTATCGTAGCATAGCTACGCGGCCGGGGTATGTTACTTGTTGAAAGAGCGTTCAGACTTCGCCATAACGCGCGTCGACGCGCTACTACTGCAACCCGCTCCAATGCTCTCCAACGCTATCGACGGCAACGCAGCCATGGACCATCGATCGGCGCCGGCCGCTTCCGTTTTGAGAGACAGTAAAAGAGTAGAAGGATACCTGACTGTGATCGGACAAGCGCACCTTCCTATCCTCCTATGCTCTCTCAAACTTAGCGAATAGCGCCGACACGTCTATGGCTTGGTCCTGCAGATAGCGTTGGAGCTCGGCTGCAACGGCAACGCGTCGAGACGTGTCATCGCGAAGCCTGGACGCTGCCCCAGAGTTAGATGACGTGTCAGTGACGTCAGATAACACGTTAATGACGCGTCAATAACGTCAGATGACACATTAATGACGTTCTTGCGACGTCACTGACGATTACACAGGTATATTGTCCCCTTTATTACGTGTGATGGGTCACTTTGTCGAACTTTTCGTAGGTTACGGACCTCTGCTACCAACAAAACTTACTCTTCAAGAGCCTTGAGCTCCTGCTCAAGAATTCCCCTCATTGCTTTTCTCCACTTTAACAGCTTCCGTAGCTCACGTGGACCACAAACTTTCAAATCTTTCAAGTATTCACGAATCTAAAAATAAATCCATCACGGGAACAAGAAAACCTGCTTACAAGCCGGTACTTACCTCCTCAGTTGTTTCAGGGGACTCTTTCCATTTATCCTGATCCAGAACTATCTCACTGGCGTTACCTAACAGTTCCAAATAATCCTAAAAAGAATGCGTCTAATACATTTGAACCGAAAAGGCTTAGAAAGAGAAGGCCCGTTACATGGAAGTCTGAAATAAATGGTCGTGGCATCGACTTTCTTTAATTAACGGACAAGCACTTCCTCTTCATAGCCTTCAGCCTCTGGCTTTCTTCTTCTTTCGTCAACAAGCGAGAGTCTGACTAAAGTACTAAGGATGTAATGGTTAATACTGAAACAATAAAGCAGCAGAATTTCAGGGACTCTTTTTTATAAACAATGCTCAGACACGAGCAAAACGCTTTGTCTCAGCGGGTACTCGAACAAGGATCTCACGTTCCCGACATAGCGTCGACTCCTCCTGACGCTTCTAAGCAACCGCTGTGTATACTTATGAATGCTCGGAATATTCATAAGCTACTTCAAAAGCCAGTAAGCGGAGAGCAAGTCTGGCTTCCGCAGTGCCACACTTCCCCTGAGAGCGTGAGATGCAGGTTCGAGGGTGGAGGGCGGGGGGGCAGGAGGGGGGGGGGCGAGAGCAAGAATTTCCTGCAAATACGATCTCCCCCCCCGCACCCCCCCCCCCCCCCCCGCCTGGTTTTTCTTCTCGGGCACGATCCCACTTCATAACCGGCCAGTCATCATACCAATTCTTCCCAAATACTGCTGTCGACAGGAGGGAAGGGAAGGTGAGGTGGCGAGGCAAGGGGTGGGGCGGATACGTCCTGCTGTTCGTGTGAAAATTTCTGCAAAACACAAACTCCTTTTCAATAATTTCTCCCCCCTTGGTACGGATCCCACTGTCACACTCCTCATCTAACAGTACTGTCCCTTAGGTTTCTTTATCTTCTCTACCATTTTCCAGAAGTTTGAACCTCAGAAATAGATTTTTCTCCAGAAAATTGTCATCGAGTGATAGGGGGGAAGGGGGGGGGGATGTACAAAGAGCAAGGAAATTTGGAAGTTTCGTGGATCGTATTACATCCCTCCAACTCCAACACGATCCTACCCCGCTGGGATCTCCACCTACATTGGCGGCCAAGAGCCCAAATACCGCAGGTTTTGCCGGTAACTGGGGATCTTTTGACGGCTTTCGCTTGCTAACCAAGGCAAAAAGCAGTAGTTATTGAAATAAAACAACTCACGGATTCTGTTTCTGTGCCTCATGACCATCGGCTCCGAAAACACCTTTTTGTGGTCAGCAAACGTTCTGGGGCAACCTAATTTCTTTGTTACCTCACTTTCATAATTCACAAGCTCTGCTCTGAACGGTACCCTTGGTGGCTTCAGATATCTTTCTCACAAGCTACGAAGAAATCTAGCAGACTCCGCGGAAGCAGCAGGCTTCAACACATTGAACTTCTGAAGCAATTTTTCAAAAGTCGTCAATCAGTCACGGAGTAAGTCGTGGATCGAGCGCGAACCTAAAAAACCTTGAGTTGTTAAACTTAAATATGGCCCCAAAAAGCCTATGAATAGCTCACCTTAGTAACGAATGTACCATTCTTCCTGAGTATTTGCGTGGCCAGCCTTAAAGCCGACAGAACGAGGCAGTTCTGTTGAAAGGCATCATGAGCCCAATTCAGACCAACATTGGGAGCACCATCGTGAAGTACACAGTCAGCCTGAATGGTAATTCTACATGAACAGGCAACAACTTGGGGATCGAAACACATTGCGGACCACCACACTACGCGGAACTCATCAGAGTTCTACATATTTTGACCAATAACGGAGAATCTGTCGATATTTTCGTTGATGGTGATGAGCACATATTGTTTGCGGATCCAGAAACGTATAAAAACGAATCCAGAAAATATCCAAATACCAGGGAGATCAAATAAAATTAGCCGCAGTTCGGCGACGGGGGGGGGGAGGAATGTTTCGGTGGTTCCGGCTTACAGGTCTCACTTTGGTGAAACCTGGGAACACATGTGAAGTTGCAGCAAGCTCGTCGAGTGATGGCATTTCGCTGATTTACAAGAGTTTACAGGTACTCTTACAAGAGTTGACAGGTGATTTCTACAAACCTTTTCGGGTATTATTTTCCGGTTTCACATGCTTTCATAGGTCTCCACTAGCTAGCTCGACACGTCGATAGGAAGTAACAAAAGTGCAAAACGACCCCTCCCCCTGCACGTCGCCGAACTGTGCCGACGATTCATCTCGGATTGCCAGCATGAGCAGCATGATGGCGTACATGGTCCGCGTTGGGTTAAAGAACATTGTAGGCTACCAGTCCAGGGTAGAGGGGTCCTGATAGGAATTTTCGGGTGACAACTGACTTCCCAATAAAGTAAGCAGAGGAACCCATCGTAAAAGCCCCAAATGAGAGCCTGCAGACTATTATCATAGGACGACCACAGTCATCATATGGTTCGAATCACTGCTTAGCAGTAGTGTGCACGGGAGCCCCCCCCCCATCCTAAGCTCATTGGCCCATAAGCCTCATGTATGCTTGCAATGTTCTCACCAACTTGGACAGTACCGTTCAAGGTGAAGGGGTCCTGATAATGTGTGCTCTAGAAAATGGACTATTGCAGCTCAATCGTTCTAGTAAAGAAGGACCAGAGAATCAGCGAAACGAATAACAAACCTCCCAACGTTGCAGCTCCTTCTTTATCGCTTGTCGGGTCTTCTCCGTTGTTATATCACCTTGTAGGGCGATACAATTAGCTATCGGTTTTATGGGTACCAAGTCAACACCTGAAACATTAGGAGTAGAACATACTTTGCTCAGAAAAGAGTGAGTAGCACAACAGGAAAAAACGTTGAAATTCAAAGGAATACCTATGACAAGGCTGGAAACGGGCATGTTTTGGGCTGCGACTTGCATCCATCCTCCAGGAGCAGCACAAAGATCGACTGTTGCTCTAGCATTTTGTAAAAATTCAAATCTTTTATTCAACTGGAATCAACTTGAATGCGGCACGGGAGCGGTATCCTGAAATATACTTGTGAACCTGTGGAAATGATAATGAAAAGCAGGCTGGGCGCAGTTTGGTTTGGGGGGTCTCAATGCCGATAACTCCTGTGGAAACCAGTCAGCTCCTGTAAAGCTATACAATAGCAGGATCAGTGCCTACACTTGACAAGGGTTTACAGGTTTCACCAAGATGTTACGTGTATTTGACAGGAACTAGCAAAAGAAACTCGCGATAGCACAAAATGCCCCTTTCCAAGCCGAACAGAGCCAACAGACAACAAAGCAAAAATGAGCTCTTACCAGCTTCTTTAGCTAACTTATAGTATTTATCACGACGCTGTTTTCCAATTTTGACCTTTTTACCCATTTTGAATGGTTCGAGGTTGTGCTTTTAGAACACCTGAAAATATTGCTTTCTGCAGACGAAGTTTACAAATAGAAAGTATAAATGACGACGAACGGACGGAGAATGCCACGAAAAACACAAGCGCAGATAAAACGCAACATAAGAGTAAACAATATGAAAAAAAATGAAACGGCGCAGTTCGGCCTTGGGGAAGGGGAGGGGGAGTGGTCATTTCACGCTTTCGTTACTTCCCATCTGTGTTGAGCCATGAAGCGGAGATCTGTGGAATCTTGTGAAGCTATGAAATGATACCAGTCAAAGTTGGTGGGAACTACTGGTCAAATCTTGTGAAGAAGCCCTGCTAATTCTGTTATACAATGAACACGTCAATGGGAAGTACCGAAGACAAATGCACCCACACCCCCCCAAGCCGAACTGCGCCCACAAAATATGAACTTCGGCAATAGTTCAGCGCTACCAAAAACGCAGACTATGTCCTTTGAGATATGAAGTACATAAATTTGCATAGTTGCGAAGACGCACGCGGAAAAAAATTTAAATAGCAAACTCTCTTTTTTTGTAAATTCCATTCTTCTAATTGGTTTATAAACAGTAACCATATTACGCAGGTCAGAATAAGAGCGGACAAAAATATGCAAAGGAAAGTCAGAA